AGGGTCTCCCTCCCCTGTGCGGGTGTAGTGCCTGCTCCACACCTCTTGGCCTACATGCTCTTCACCTCTAGGGTTCTTGGGCTACTGGTCTCCCGGATCTTCCCCGCAGTTCCGCACGCATGGGTGCTCTTTGCTCTGAGGTTGTTCGGGCCCAGTTGTGAACCCTTTTGCGACTGTAAAACCTGAAACTTGTCCTGTCCTTCATAAAAAACCACTTCGATCACAAAACGGGCTTCTTTGTGAACTCTTTCATCATGCAAAGCCAAGAACCGAGGTACCACCCGCTTGAGAAACCTTACAATACCTTTACTATGTTGAGGAATTTCTATTTTGTTGAGTGTTTTTATTAGGAGTAGGCATTGGATTTTATCCATCTACCTTTTGAAGTAATAAAACATGCAGGGTTCAGAAGGGCTTGCTCCATCTTTGTCTTAAAACCTTCTGTGGTTTCCATTATCGAATGCAGTTTCAGCTATTTATGATACGTATCATATATACCACACATACTACCGTTAAACAAGAAAAACCCCTTTTTGTTCAAGCACGTAATGCTAGAATCCTACAAGAACGGTACACAGTAAATATTTCATGAATATTCACTGAAGCATGTTGAAGTGGAAAACCGGAAGGAAAATGTGAAGCAGCTCAAGTGAACTGTCAAGGATATTAGTCAGAAAATGGGGTGCCCGAGAAAACCCCGAGGGGAGAAGCAGCCCGAGTCTAAGGGGCTGGAGACACGTTCTGAGTTGCAGAAACCGGAGGAAGTGGATAATATTAGGGATGGTGGCAGCGACATTCATCTGCGGAGAAAGAGGCGTCGTTCGAGAAACTGGGGGAAGCCGAAGACCCCCACCTACCCCGGGGCTCCAGCTCCCGGCCCCCTTCGCTCCCGGGATCCAGCTCCCAGCCGGGTCCTTCCCAGGAGGCCCCGGGGCGGTCCCGGCGGCGGCGTCTGCGGCTGCGCAGTAGCGCGCACGTAGGCGGAGCGGCGCGCGCCGCGGTCAGCTGACTGCCCGGCCGGCACGTGACTTTCTCCGTGGGCGCTGGGGTCGAGGAAGCCGGGAGGCCGGAGTTTAGGTCGGGGAGCGATGGAGCGCTGAGCCGTTAACGTCTGCCAGGCTGCCTGCCTCTGTCCCTGTCACTGCTGCCACCTCCTCGTTTGACGCCTTCCTGGGTCAGTGAGTGACAGCTGCCCCGGCGGGGCGTGCTGCTGCGGCGGCCGAACCCTGCGCTGCGGTTTTCGCCTGGGAGGGATGGGGGCGGGAGTGGGGCCCAGGCCGGGGCGTGGGAGCTGGAACCGACAGGGTGGCTGTGTCTGGTTTCCCGGAGCCGGCTTGTCGCCACCTCGGGCCTGGCTTTTGACTCTGAGGAAGAGGAAGCAGGGAAAGAAGGGGCTCTGGAGGGTATTCAATGGCAGGGGCCCAAAAGAGGCGAGACACAGCGGGTCCGGGACTGTTGTCCTTGTGTCGCAGCGAATCCACACCCCCTTGATTAAGGGAGATCAAGGGGAGAGTGGCTCAGGTGAGCATCAGGGGTGGCGGCGGCGTGTGTGAGGTCGCAGCAAGAGCCTTTCCTGGGTGTGTGCTCGTGTGTGTGAATAGGGGAGTGGCAGCTTCCACAGACACCCCTGGCTGCAGCCTGGAGACCCTGGGAGAGGGCTCAAAGTTTCTGTAGGCCGCTGAAACCTAGGGATTCAGTGAAGACGTATTAAAAGAAGAAAGAAAGCAGAATGGGGGAAGGGGTGGCAAGGAACTTCTGAAACGGAACTTGGGCGAAGAATACAGAAGACAAATTGACTCACCTGAGAAACGGGAATAAGGGGAATGCCAATATTTTCTTTTCAGAGTTATGATCTGGAATGGTAGGGGAATTCTGACATTTCCGTGAGAGCTCAGCATGTTGTATTGCGCTCAGAGTGGAGGGGTGGGATGTACACAGGCCTGGGATAGGAGTTTGCATTTACATGGCACATTTCAGTGCTATGAGGCTGTATCTAATAAAAGAATTCCAAGTGCTTTGGAAGTATGGCAATGATGTCTCAACTGGTCTACTCAGGATCAGCATCCTGGAGGGGGAAAAAAAACATGAGTCTTGGCAGACAGGCAGAGAAAAATGGAGTGAACTTCTAGGCTGGGGGAGCCATAGGAAGTGAAGGTCAGAAGAAAGAATTAAAATGAAGGAGATGAGGGGTGTCTGACCTTCTGGTTTGTAGTGGATTTGAACTGTGAAATGGGAAAGGTGGGGTCAAGTAAAAAAGGTAGTGACGATTTTTGAATGATACTTCATTTATGTACACATTCAACCAGTATTTATCGAATGCAGATTTTTGAATGATACTTCATTTATGTACACATTCAACCAGTATTTATCGAATGCAGTATTTATCGACATGCCAGTTACCTGCGCGGTGCAAATAGTCACTATATTCCACTGCTAACAGAAAGGTTGGAGGTTCAAGTCCACTCGGAGTCACCTGGAAGAAAAGCCTGCTGGTCTACTTCCAAAAACTCAGCCACTGAAAACCCTCTGGGGAGCAGGTCTCTTCTCCCCCGTCCCCCAAGGCCATCATGAGTTCAGATGGACTTGTGGGCACCTGGTTACTGGGCTGGTGCTGATGTTAGGGCTACATGGTTTAGAAAACAAAGTTCTCATTCTCTTCGAGCTCATTGGTGGGGATGGAGTTTAATAAGTAATCGTGGCAGTGTGGAGTATGCATGGAAGTGACACGCAGGATGCTGTGCGAAAGTTCTTACCAGGAACATGGCCTCTACGGAAGTTTCAGTGAAGGCTTTGCCAAGGATATGCCTTTTGACCCTAGATAATGAAACGAGGGGTAGAAGTTATCTGGGCAAGTTAGGGGTGAGGATATGAATGGAAAGAGTATACCAGGGTGAGGGAACAGCATAGGCCAAGAAATTGAATGAGGGAGGGCCATCCTGGTGGGAACTTGCGGGAGCAGCGCTGTGAGAAAGGCCATGGGCAAGGGTCAGGAGACCGAAACCAACCTCAAGTCCAGCCTTGGCAGAGTGACCTTGGTTAGGGTTTTCCGAACTTAACAATCTATGGGAACAGATCCCCCTCGGTGTTCTCTCCCTGAACAGCTGGTGCTTAGCACTCCAATGCTTAACTGACAGTGCCACCAGCGCTCCTTGCAGTAGGCCCAGCTGGGCTTTTATCATGACCTAAGGCAGTGGAATGGATCAGATGTGGCTTTTGAAAAGATAATTATATGGAGCATGTGGAGGGTGGCAAAGTGAATGAAGCCTGACTGCTTAGGGGGCGCCTAGTTGTAATTCAGCCAAGAGGTGGCACAGCAGTTTAAACCGTTTCCTGTAAGAAGTGGAGAGCACTGACAGATTTGAAGGTTGGGTTCCCTCTAAGGATGTAAGGAGATAGTGTTAGCTGTAATCACTTTTAGAGGGGCTAAGGAGTTTGGGAAGGGAAGAAGTGATTAGATTTTATTTTCCCCATTCACTAAGCCGGGCGGAAATGTGTGAAGAGTTCTTGTCGTTGTTCGGTGCCATTCAGTCATTTCTGCCTCAGCAACCCTGTGCACAATGGAAGGAAACCTGCCCGGTCCTGCGCCAGCCTCCCCGTTGCTCCTGTGCTTGAACCCACGCTTGCAGCCACAGTGTCAGCCCATCTCGTGGAAGGCCTTCCTCTTTTTTTTTTTGCTGCCCTTCTTTACCAAGCAATGGGCCCTGAGAAGTACGAAGTGGGGGAGGCCTGACCACTTTGGGGTTGGTGGGAGAGGCCTTTGCAAAAACTGGTTTTGACTTTTAAGTTTTACAGTGGTATCTATTACTGAGGCTTTTTGTTGAAATTACGTTAGTCATGGGGAGGACTTGCCGTATGCCCACATTTGATCTCCTACCCTCCAGGAGAGATGGATGAAAGCATACAGATGGACACCAGAGACCACCCTAGAGTCCTGGAACTAAAGCAGAGAAGAAGTGACATGTCCCCCTCGGACTTAACACCCATTGTCCTCTGACTTTCTGGTGTGCTGTCCCTATTGATGCCCCCCCCAGCATTTACTAGTCATGACTAGGGTGCAGGCAGACTTTTCTGAGGTGCATTGAGATCTTTGTCTTGGCACTCTGGGGGAACTTTTGCTAGGAGGATCCCCTCCAGGGAGTTAGCGGTGGTGGTAAGTTCTTAGCTGCGTTAAGGCTGGTCCATTTGCAGCAGGCGGTAGAGGAGATGCCAAGCAACCAGGTGAGCTGAAAACTCTAAGGTTGTCAATCACGGCTCTTTGGCAACAAGCAAGTCTCAAGTGGTGCTGAAAGGCTGTGGGTGTGAACTGGATCATCTTGTCTCCTGGTGTACCATGCAGCACCCTGATGCCATCTAAGAAATAGCACTCGGGGTCTCACCCAGGCAGATTCCTGGAGCTGTGTCGTTATGGACATTCTGCTGCTCATACTGGACACAAACTCTTTTTCCTCCTGTATATGAATCCAGTTGTAATGGTGACAAATAAAGCCTAAGAAAAATTTGCTTGATTTAAAACTCATTTTTATTGTTTTTGTCTTACTAGTCTCAGGTTTTTGCCAGTTCACCTAATGTACCACCCCAACCTCCCCACCCCCTGAAGTTGCCTTTCCCATCCAGATAAGAACCTGTATTTTAACAAGATCCCTAAAATCAATCTTTGTGGAAGAGTTCTGTAGACCCATCAGGCCCCAGACACAGCCTTCTTTTTAAGTTTGAATCTGCTTCAGGCCTGTCAGCTGTGTCTCATCGCACCCCTGTCCAGCGCTCTGAGATGAAATCTTTACTGGGTGGGCGGCGTCACCTCCTTGGAGACGCTGTTGGGTTTGAATTGCCGAGTGTGCGGGAAGTCGCCCAATGCCAACCCCACACTGCCCCCAGGACTCTTGGGTAACAAAGCAGTCGTGTGGACCCAAACTCCCAGCCTTTCCGTTAGCAGCCAAGTGTATTAACCAATTTCTTCTGCACGTGCCCTTACCTTTCCTTCTCTTGGGGTGTGGCGTTGCGCTTCCTTGTCGCTGTGCCTACCTAGTGCGGTTGTCAGTACCAGCTGACAGCTGCGCCTCACTACAGAAAAGCAATTCAGCCATCACATTAGAGGTGAGCTAATTACACGTTTGACTAGTATGACCTAAGAATGTTGTTATAAATATCCACTGGCAGAAAAAGGTTCCCCACCGTTGGCATAGTAGGTTATGCATTGGGCTGCTAACGCAAAGGTTAGCAGTTCAAAACCACCAGCCGCTCTGTAGGAGAAAGACAAAGTTTTAGATTCCTTAGAGATTTAGGGTCACAGAAACCCACAGGGGCAATTCCACTCTGACCTATAGGGGCAGTATGAGTCAGCATCGACTTGATGACAGCGAGTTTGATTTTGAGTGTGAATTTTTATCTGTAAATTGATTCATAGGTTTCCATCTCATTGATGTTTTTAAGGTCTAATAGAAGCCTTAGCATCGCCCTCCTATTGATACATGTGGCCTTTGGAGTTAGAGAGTCCCACCATTTTTCTTGATAAGGAAACGAGCATTCTTTTGCATTAGGACATCTGCTTTGAACATTACCGCTGTGTCAGTGTGTGGGCTATACACCTGCTGAGTTAAAAGGTGGGGAGGGCACTATCATGACCCCTGTTCTACCTTACAAATCTGGCTAGACCAGAGCATGTACACGGGTACAGATAAGAGCTGGAAACAGGGAATCCAGGAGTGATAAACCCCTCAGGACCAATATGGAGAGTAGCCACGCCAGGAGGGGAAGGGGAAGGTGCAGGGAGAAAGGGGGAACTGATCACAACGATCTACCTAGAGCCCCTTCTCAGGGGGATGGACAACAGAAAAGTGGGTAAAAGGGAGACATCTGTCAGTGTAAGACATGAAAAAATAATAAATTATCAAGGGATCATG